ATGTGTGTTTTCGTGAGAGTTGTGAGAGGGAGTTAATTGGAGTGTAATAGCAAAATCGAACCAAGAAAATAAATCGTGAGTACGCTAGCTTTTGCAAGCTTTCGACAGAAATTCCTTAAATTTTCGAAATAACTTGGCTCGAAACTTTTGGGATAATTAAGTTTTCATTTCATAGCTTTCGAGATCACTTTGCCCCCCTGGGTTTGAAATTCCATGAGCTCTCAAGATCTTGTTTACCTCTTCAGTTTTCTAATTAACCTGCGTTACAAATTAAGTCCCTGAGTCATTCCTGTAGGCGTTCAAATCAATAAGTCAGAAAGTGATGCCTTTGAAATATAACTAGAGCGTTTTACGTCACGCACGCCCTATGTAATGTAATTGAATCATTGTCTAGCGGTTAGGCGTGGGTGATGATTTTCCTCCATTATGTCACACAGAAATTTTATCTGATCCTTTCCATTTCAGGTACAGTATTTTTCCTTTTCCAGTAAAACATAAAAAAAAAACGGTGGTCTCATTCGACAATTTTAAGGTGTTTTACTTCAGATGGCGCGTCTTGTTCAAAGAGACTGGTAACCAAAGCGCAGGGCAGTTGATCATAGAGACATATTGGATTAAGACATTGAAATCCTTAATGAAATTACATAACGAGCCAATTAACTGTAGTACTTTCAATCACGCGTTTAAATTATCCAGTTTTCTCAATTAATACGCCTTTCGGGTTCAAGATCTTTATGCGTGTCTCATCGATGGAGTTGATGAAGGCGGTTGATATGATTGATGATGTCAATGGTTTTTTTGCCAATGATTCTTCGATATGATGCCAAAGTTCGCTGCAATCAGCGACAGTATTCAGTTCTCATGATACAGCAACTGAGATCATTACATATGCGCTGTAATGGGTGAAAAACCTGTCGTTTATTACATATTCTGATAAACCAAAGTCTATTTCATAAAAGCAATAGACTCAGCTCATTTTATCGGTTTGCCAGCGTAATTACTCCCAGATTGGGGGTTTAGAGGAAGCCTTGGGAAGTTTATGTATCACTTGCCTTTGCTTGGCGATTTTCAAACTTCTCCCTAACAAATTATTACGCTAATAGACCGCCGGATAGGATGTGCGTTCTATTGTTTAGATATTCTCCAAATCCACGAGCAAATGAATTCCTGTCGGGCTATCGTGGGTTGCATACTGTTCCGATGACGTGATAAATTTGTTTTAAAAAATGTGCTGAGTCACCCTTGTCACAAGAGAAGAAGGTATTAGCTTAGAAGTAACTAATCTTTATGTATCGGATATCCTTTCTAAGCCAGCTATCCATAGCCATAACTTCCTTTTTCCCTTCACACCATTGCAAACTAAAATAACTTGAGGACAGTTTATTGAAACCCACCGTCCCATTATGGCATCCGAATCTGTCCTGATCCCAAGAAACAGGAACGAAACTGTCAGTTATGGCTATGTTCAGTTAGTTATAGTCTTGTGGCCGTACTCTTAGTGCAAACGAGCGCTAGAGATTGAGGTTGCATATATAATGATGACGAAGTAAACTTATTTAGGCTCTACGTTACTGTAGAAGTTTCACATCGGCCAAACCCAAATTTTCCGGAAAACAGGAAATCTTTTCATGGCTTCTCTGCACTAAGCTTACTCTGAGTACCAGCGGAAATTAGTCTTCGTTTCTGTTTCTCTCATTCCTTTCTATTCTAAAAAAAGCTGCTGTAAGGAGTGAAGAGTCGTACACTGATCACTGAGATCAAGTGTGGATCTTATGTGTTGCACAATTGTTGTGAGTAAGCCCTGCTCTCCCTCAATTAATTAATCTATAAGAGCTATTTCTAAAGTGACCACCCGCCACTTTAAGTGTGTTGAAGACAGACTTCCTGTCTATTTTGGACTCTTTATGAATTTGTTCGCTAAAGCCGCGCTAAAAGCCTCTCAATGAGGGCGGTCTTCTTTTGAAAAATTTCTTTGCAATTTACGTAGCTTTCCGTTTCCTCACAGGTGATTAAAGAACTGTGAAAGTTTTTTAAATAGTTGGTGTAAAAAAACCTATCGATAAGCCGCCTCATGAGTTTAATTTTGCGTTATCTATAAAACCGCATGACTCTTTGTTAACTGGGAGGGCAAACATCGAAGGGTAGATTGAGGACAGATGGCCGAAACAACAGTACATAACCGGGAATGCCAAGAAAACCCTTTATCACTGATTTCTTTCTTCTTATTGATGGTATTATTAGTGTTCTGACGTGCTAAACTCCTAATTTGTGTTGAGATACGGCGCAGGCAATTGCAAGTTACGAGAGACGCTTCAAAGACTTGTACTAAATTTCGTTGCCTGAAAGGACTGGCTTAACATCAGAATCAGGGAGAAAGCTGTCCCCCACCAAATGCCTCCCCTCCCCCCTCCCCCTCCTAATTCTTTTTCTTTTTTTCCCTTTGTTTTCGGAGTTAAGGCAATTAAATTTGTGTTTTTTGTTCTTCGGGGTTAATTTCTTTTTTTGTGTGTGTGTGTGTGTATGTGTGTGAAGCAAAGGTAATGTTTTTTTTTTCGGCTTTCTGTTTCAAGGGATTTCTCTTTTCAGTGTGATCTTCTTTTCGCGGATGAAGGACATTCTGCAAATTTCGAAGCTCTTTGGCGTTAACAAAACAAATGAATGCTTGCCATGGATGCCCCTTCGTGTCGCAGAATTGGCTGACGGGAATTAGTGACGCTACTCACCTACATTTTGCCATGCTTCGTTTCTGTTTAGCCAAGGGATCAAGAAGTTAAAAGATGAAAAGCGTAAAGACAGCAGAAGTCTGACGCGATGGTGATATAATATTGGATCAGAACAGTTTGTTTATAGTATACCACAAAAATCCACCATAATCCATGTAAAGAAGATAAGGAAATAAAAGAAAAGATTAAATGGCGAGAATTTGTTTACATTTCGCAGCAAACTGTAGCCATTTGGCGAAGGCTCAACAGAATTAGTGTGATGTTTTTGGCAGATAAAGGAGAATTATTGCTTTCAGTTTTCTAATCTACACAATTTCCATAATACCTTTTATCATTGCCAGCGAAAAAAAGAAGCTATTTTAGTAAAATGGCAAGAAAACAATTCTTTAGCATCGTAAGAGATAGTTTTTAAAAGCCTAGTTTGATCATTAGTGGATCCTAGAGACTGGAATCGAGCTAGCCACTTCCCATTTTAAAGTCAGGATTTTTTTGCTGAAAAGAGAAGAGAGAAAGAAACCAAACTAAGTAGATTTAAGTTACCGGTTAACGGCATATAATGTTTTACTTCTTTTGTTAAAAGAGTATGTTTTCGGGTCTTTCTATTGACGGTTTGATATAAATCCATTTCAAGCTTATAGCATTCTTTCCAAGCTAAACAGGGATGATCGTTTTCGCGTACAGTCATCAGTCATGACAACTAAATCTGTTGACTGTTTACATCTTAGCATGCCAACCTAGCACATAGTAACAGGTCCTAACTGCGGGGAGAGCTCACTTTGATCGAAGGAACCTGCATTAGATGAAAACGTTAATACATAACAGAGATTTATGCCAACTTCATGTAAATTAAAAAAAAAAAAATTAAGGAGACCTCTCTAATAACTTTTAGACGTGGAAGCGTATCAAACCCCCAAATGATTGAGTTTTGAATTTAAGAATGATTTCAGAGAAGCTTAACTATCCATCGGATTTTTCTTATAGTAGGAATTATGTCAGTAAGTCGTGATAAAATCGGTTTTAAGGTGTTACGAAAGAGAAAATCATGTGTCCAGTCAGAAACTTGGCGCGTTTGCTTCTTTTGCCAATACGATGCAGATTATTGCTCTCCTACGTCTGACCGACAATAGCAATTAGATAAATCGTGCTTAACTGAACACTACCAAAACATCGCTGCTAATTAGATTAAGAAAAATCATAAATTTTGAGCTAGGTCATGCATGAAGTAAAGAGATGTTTTTCCCGTTTTGTCACAAGCATCAGATGGCGATTTACGGTTCTTGAATTTTTCGGAATGTCCTTGATCCGCGAAAAGAAGATGAGAAAGAGCGAGATTTGATTTCTCGTGACAAGACGAAAAGAAACATCGTTTTTTTTTAAATCTATTTGTGACCTTTGAAAATGTTCCACATAATGAACGGAAGTTTAAACCCTTTACCACAGTTAACCAATGTGAAGTGATGACAAAGTATTAATTCTTTACAGTTTCATTATGCTATCCATCAAACAGGATCAAACACCAAAATATCACAACTAATTTACAAGGAAATAAAGCAGGCGGAGAGGAGAATTGCTATTGAATTTGCGATCTTTTCTCTCTAGTTGCATAACCTGGTCTATTCCAAATCATGTGCCGTCATAGAATGTGAGTAAAAGGCTCGACAACCTTGGGATCCCTCACTGTGTCAGATATGAAAAACTTACATCTGCCAGTTTTACAGAGAATTAAACAAATTGGCTAGAATTTCCAGCTAATTAGTCGACGATGCCATACCAATTAAATGTTGTTTATCTGACCTAGAGGGCAGTTCCAATTAGTTTGGTGAATATCAAAATCGTTTTCTTCCAAAAAATTAACTCAAAAACTGTGAAAGGCTCTTGTGGTTGCTGTGCAGAGTGATAGGCATTCCAAAAGTCTTTGGCACATTTAGTTTACATTTCAATTCCATTATTTTCTACGTTGTGCTGGTCTTGGCACATTTACTGACCACTTTAGAGCTGCAAAAGCCTCATATAGACTATAATTGTAAACTCCACGTTTAATTTCCCTTTTCTTCAGAGTTCCACAGCGTCGTAAATCAGCCTCTCTACCTATGTCGCTTCACGTCGCTTCGAAATTATCTGAATCTTTTGCAAAAACCCTTCGCGAACTTTACAAACTAACTTAGAACCAACTTCCCGAAAACTAGTGTTCCAAAGTACTTATTCATAAAAAAAGAAACGAAAAAGGTCACGTGCACGTGAACTTGCTAGAACTCGCATTGCTGGAATTCACGTGCTACGTTCTTAAAATATTTTAGTGGGCAAACACAAATAAGACACGACAATAATTAATCCTTTTAAATAGCGTTGGCAAAACAAACTAATACGCATGTTGTCGATCAAAGCAAATTGCGTACATTTGTTTATTGACATTATGAATTAAAGAGGCGGAGAGAAGCACTCGACTACACGTCTCATGTTTCCCCTTTAACTGCTTTCGCGCTTCTGAGTGCTTTACGACAGAAGCAGTGCAAGATCAAGGCTTCTTTATTTGCTAATTGACCTGCATGCACACATGATTTTTACAATTTGCTTTTATTCAACTTTTTTTTTATCAGATTTAATAATAACCCAAGATTCCTCCGATGCAAATGTTAAGCAGCAACAAGGCAGAATTTAATTTATTATTAGCTTGGGCACTGAAAGGAGTACTAGTCGTAGGAAGTTTCATTCTCTTCGCCAAGAATCGAAAACAGTTTAATTGGTTTTCTCTATAAAAGTGTATACTGAAAACGCTTTTATAGCTGTCACCTCAAATGGCTCAACCTCGAATGCCACCTGGTCCGCAAAACTCGGATCACACGGAGCAAGAGTCTGCCGGAAAACACGACATCGTAGCGCCTAGAGTCCTTGCTGGTATTCACGCTCTTATCGACATTGTTGGTCTGCCAGGAAATTTATTGGTTTCAACAACGATCTTTACGGAAAGCAAGTTTCATATAATGCAGTATTTTCTCCCTTCAAGCCTTGCAGTATCAGACGAGATATTTCTGCTTAAACACGGTGCTCCATCTGATAGCCGTGTCCTGTGAACGATACAGCGCTCGCGCTATTGTAAAATCACCTTTGACTTAACATATAATGGCTGGAGAACTACAACAAGAGTTGTGGCGACAGTGCTGATATGGACATTGCCTGTTTTCGTCTTTATCACTCGTATATTTTTAGATTCTTTGTTATATTTTTACAATCAAGAAGTGTTCTTTTGCAATGTAGAAGTTAATTCAAAGGTAATTATTGCTCTAGTGACTCTTAAATTGTTACTTGTACCTTTTACTGTAATCGTTTACCTAAATTGGATGGTCTTTAAAACAGCAAACGATCTTCAGATTAACGCTGTGGCAGCCCCGCAACCAGGACGCCTTCATTCCTCAAACCGAACCAGCAACAACAGTATAAAGCCGAACGAATCATGGACAGGAAGGCAGCTGTCGACGTTTGTATCATCATCGCGGCATTTGTACTCTGTTACCCTCCCGTGTGCGCAGGCGGCCCAGGCACCGCAGGCAGCCCAGGCACCACAGGCGGCGCAGGCGGCGCAGGCGGCGCAGGCGGCGCAGGCGGCGCAGGCAGCGCAGGCGCCGCAGGCACCATAGGGAGCCAACATCAGGAGCTAAGTCGATGATGCTATGTGGATCCGTAGACTTGGAAGGTTTAGAAGGAGTTCGATCAAAATTTTAGTGATGCCATTCTTAAATTGAAGAGCTAATCATTTAATGATTAATTTGGACCAAAGGTGGACCTCTTCCTCTTTTGTTTAAACTCTTCAACCGAGCTTTTTAAAACACTGGGAGTGGAAAAAATAGATTATATAAACTGGATATTCGATGAGTTACTAAGCCGGGTAACTTAACGGCAAGCCGTTTTTCTACGAAAAAAGAGTTTCCTTTCAGATAGAACGAGAACTGTCAAGTTTTATTTCCTCGTTTACTGAAGCTTTTTTTATTCTTTTCGGTTTTCATACAAAAATGTTTCCTTCTGTAAGAATGCATCACATTAAGGAATTTTTTTCTTTTTAAGTCGTGAAATAAAGCAAGTGCGTGATCGGAGCAGGTCAGACAAGGGTTAGGATTCAGCTGAAGTTTACATGCTACGTACGAACATCTAAAAATATGGGGTCAAAAACTTTATTGCAAGCTCTCATCAATAATTCTCCTTACAATTGTCATTATGTTACTTCAGAAAAATTGTTATTTGATTAACTTATAATTCCTTAAATTTTTGTATTCATCGCTTATCTGCTCAATGTTGATATAGAAATGATCTTCTGATGAGTTATCTGTCTTGGCAAGAGAGTGATCGTGGTCTTGATCACCTATACGAGAGCTACAGGTTTAACACTTCGTAGTTAGATTCAATAGTAGGCAATCTATAGAAGTCCTAGAGTTGGAGGGTAGCTAGTCAGTTTACTTCTCATATTAGAGGCGCAGTGAGGACACTTCTCTTGAGGAAAAGGCCGGAATAATAGAGTCGTACTACTTAGAGGGCTCATGCGCCTGAGAGAAACCTCTGTGCATCAAATTGAAAGGCTCACGCCTGGAAGCCGCTCCTCCTTTAATAACACGCGTGCATGGACATTTCCCTTTGATCGATCAAAGAAACTTACGGAATTAATCGGAACTCATATAACTCAAAAAAGGTGTCTTCTAATTTTCATGTCATCGAAACTGTAAAGTAAAGTAAAGCTTGACAGATCGAACGGCGTTTAAGAATATCTTTTTCTTTGCATCCCAAATGAAAACACCAATTTTAAGACAAAAATTTACGCTTCACCTTTATAAAAGGGAAAACTTTAAAACTTTCATCTTTTGTACAGCGTTTTCACGAATTGAACGAACAAATCACGTGTCACCTGACAGGACACAATACATATCACGTGTAAGGACCGTCAACCACGTCCCACGCATCACGCTTGCTCATAATGTAATTCACGAATCACGTGTCAAACTTTAATTTTGATCCTAATCACGCGTTGATGTATAAATCTTTTGCCACACTGCACAATGGCATTGCCCTCTTTGTAAATGAAAACACAGAAAAAGCAGTAATAAGACATTTTAACATTTATTTTTGATCTTGTTCCATTAGCTTTTGAACCAGTCTTTCTAAGGACTTTTTAGTTCCTAAGATTTCCCTTACAAACCCGTGCCATCTC